GCAGATGGGTGCCCCTCTTTACTTGAAAAGAGAGACAAACGAGAACGGAGCTTTTTCATTGGAAAACGCTCGCAATGCACGCAGATTGCCCCCTCGAGGACATCGCGTGCGTGCTCTTCGCCCAAACAAATAATGCATAGATCGTGTGTGTCATCAGATTTTAAACAACGTCAACACGGATGCACATATCCTAAAATGCTTTGCTAGTGCTCGCCATAAAGAGATAAATAGAGATCGCTCTTAACACAGAAATGCATGCTTCAAACAAAACAGTCAATGAAGACGAAGAAGAGAATGATGTATGCTCCCGGCGCCTATTTATACTATAGTCGCACCGGTAGTGACGTCATGGCTGTCGCCGGCCAACAAGTTGGTGTTTTTTCAATGTATGCTTCAGACACGGGTCACGACGAGGCGTTCCCCATAGCGACCCCTAGAGGACGCAGTTCGAAGTTCCCATGAAAGGGAACGTTACACGGTAACATTTTATATGACCTTTTCATCATTTTGGTTTTGACAGCCCCAGCCCTCATTCATAACGAAGCCATTTTAGGTAAAAATTCCTTTACTGAACCAATTTGTTAATAAACTGATGTCTATATTAATACCTGACATTTGCCATCCTCCTTTTAGGTGACTTCTGGGCAAAACAAACAGTTGGACAGAGTCATAGAGGCTTTAGGAAAAGTCCGATATGAAGGTGAGTCATTATCAGATTGCATGATATTTTTTGGGGACTGAGTTGCTTATTTTTGATTAGTTTATCTATTCAACATGTTTTGCATTCTGCATTGTGGTTCCATATTACCCAATGTGATCAAAAGGGAACAGCTGTGAAATTGAAGATTTTAGACTGACTGACATCATCCCTCAAGCCAATAAACTGAACTACTATAGGTACTCGGGTTCCTTGACCACACCAGGCTGTGACCAGGCCGTTGTGTGGACGGTCTTCCAACAGAGTCTGCCCATAAGCAAAAATCAGGTACAGAGAGACTTTTTCTTTTACGCATAAACCAGACTGAGATCAAGATGTTAGTCAACACTGATTACAAACACCAGTATCTGAATTTAGAATTAAAGCAAGACACTATAGGCAACATCATTTTTCTTTAAGAATTTAAGTGTTTAATTTACATGTTATTTTATTACATTTTAACTATTTGTTTCAATTCCAATACATACCTTTAAAGCTTGTTTTCTCAAAATGAGTCTTATATCAAAATTATTTATAACTTATATCAAACTTTCCTATTCCTATCTATATTCGTAGGATTTTTACACAGATGTTTGTTCATACATCAGTCGTTTGATTTATATAACATTTATTCCTAAAAACACGGTGATTTTTTTTTTCTTGCAGTATTTTCTGGTTTATGGTCTGTTAAAAAGAGATATCCAAAATCCCCTCTGTAAAACCTTTACCACTGTTTATGTCAACAAAATGAAACAAGAATTTTGCACCTGGCTTTATCCAATGTGCAAATGAGTGCATATTTAATTAGATAATGGATAATTTGCATATTTAAACATAACATTTCAGAAAACTTGTAAAACAAAATTATCTTGATGTACTGTGATTAATCAACTATGAAAAGTATTGTGATTTCTATATGTGATTTCTATATGATTATGGAAAGGCAGATTTTAATTCACACGCAATGATCCTTTTGGCCATCTTTCTTTTCTTGCTTTAGCTGATGTCAGTGGATAAACAGCTGTTATTCGGAACAGAAAAACCAATGACTGGAATATTCCGTCCTGTGCAGAATCTGAATGGACGAGTTGTGTACACATCAGTGCCAGCTCACAGTCTGTGTGTCCTGCCCAATCTAATCACCCTGTTTCTGTGCCTCTTTTGTGTTTTTGGACAACAAAGGTGTTTTCATTGAATGGTAGAGAATGCTCTTTTAACACAGGATGTTCTGTATCGAACTTCCAGAAACAAAGTATAGCTAATCAATCTTCTGAGCACTGAACTGAAGGTACTGGGATGGATCTCTGTGCTAAAGCGGTGAAACTTGACAATGGAGAAAAGATTTCTTAGTTATTTTCTGTGTTCACAACTATTAATTGTCTCACTGGTACCTCTTTTCATGTCTTGGGATATTTTCCTTCAGTTGTGGCAGCTTTATCTGGCTTTGATTATTTCAGGATTCCCATCTGTTTTCCATTACTTTTTTTGGTTGTTCATGATTACTGTATTTAAAATATTTTAAAATCTTATATATATATATATATATATATATATATATATATTGCTGGGAAGGACTTCCATTTATATTTATATGTACCAATAATTATACTTGTATATAAAAGTCTTCAAAAATACAAAATAGCTTGAGATTTGAATGTGGCTCATTTGAAGCTTTCTGATCCTCCATTAAGATTGTCTCACTATGTACATTTCATTGACTTTTCCATTACTTACGACCTTTTAGAAAATTTTCATGATTTCCCAGGCCTGCGAATGCCAATTTTTACTGTTGTTTAATGTTTAATGTTCTTATGTTTCTCCTGTAATTCATATGGCTATGATTTGATTATTAAACTTGATACAAACATGTAAAACAAATTGTGTACATACGCAGGGCATGTACATAATGTATCCAAAGATGTTAATAAAAGTTCAAATGAAGTGACTACACAAATTCTTCATTTAATTGCAATTATATTTAATTGTAAATATTATTTGTCATATAAAGATTTCATTTTCATTTTGAACCAATGGAAGTTTATATGTAATATGCAGGCATAACATGCCAAATTCATCTTTGCAAGAGTACCTACTACTGACCCTTGCAGATATGAGACTATGGTTTCTGTTTTTGTGCCTGTAACCAGGTTCTGAAGTGCTCAATCTGAGATGTGACGCTACTCCTAGCCGTGCCACCAGGGGCGCTGTACTGTTCAACACTTCTGTTGTAGTCCCACACTGAAGAAACGTCCTTGTCAAACAAAGGGCTGGAGATAAAGAAAAAACAAATCAATAAAAAAAATCCAAATAAAAACATTTCAGATACTGTTAGATGTACTTTTAGTTTGAATGTGACTGCCGACCTGACAGTTTGAAGGTCCTCTACAGTGATTTGGGACAGATGGATGTTCTTAGATTCAGCAATATAAACGGCTTTCCCAGCACAACTGTGGGCTTCTCTGAAAGGCATCTTTGATATATATGTATATATATCAGATTTCATTCAGCTCTACTGACATGCGGAATCGTAAAACTGTAAGTTGATGGATTGATGGACTTACTCCCTTTCTGACCAGATGGTAGGCAAGATCAGTGGCCAGCATATCTGGGCTGAGGGCCCCTTCCATCGCTGGTTGGTTGACCTGAGGAATGGAAAAGTACCAGTGCCTAAGATCTACTGCTCAACAATGAATAAAAAAGGAAATGAAACAACAACCATTTTTTATACCGCTCACATTTTAGACTGACAATGGATTACGACATACTCAAACACTTCTGCATCTCATTCAGCATTTCACCTACTTACTATTTACCTGAAGTAAGAGTTTTGTTTTTGATTGCCATTGTTCATGACAAAACAACATTTTTTTCTAACCCGTCTCTCACCTTTAGAGTTGAAATGACGCCTGTTGCCACCTGCAGCACAGCGTGTACTGTATCATACCAGATGGTAGGCAAGATCAGTGGCCAGCATATCTGGGCTGAGGGCCCCTTCCATCGCTGGTTGGTTGACCTGAGGAATGGAAAAGTACCAGTGCCTAAGATCTACTGCTCAACAATGAATAAAAAAGGAAATGAAACAACAACAATTCTTTATACTGCTCACATTTTAGACTGACAAAGGATTACGACATGCTCAAACACGTCTGCATCTCATTCAGCATTTCCCCTACTTACTGTTTAACTGAAGTAACAGTTTTTTTTTTTTTATTGTCATTGTCCATGACAAAACAACATTAACTTGTGTTATAACCCGCCTCTCACCTTTAGAGTTGAAATGACGCCTGTCGCCACCTGCAGCACAGCGTGTACTGTATCATATGTGTCGAACATGGCCTCCTTATCCTCCTGCAGTGACAAAACATATATTCAGAAAATGTTTTAAAATAAAATGATCATATTTTGGCTGTCATGGACATACCTGTAGGTCTTTGTTGTATGTGCTGGGTAAGCCCTTAAGAGTCATCAGAAACCCTGCACACTGTATAACAATGAAATTTAAATTAGATAAAAGTATATAAAATATTTGTATTTTAATATTATAATATTACTATTATTTTAAATATTTGTAATATTATTTTCTTATAATTAAATTAGGTATGCACTGATATGAAAATTCTGGTCAATAAGCCAACGATTAATTTCATGTTATGGTGATATTAAAATATTATTATTCAAATATTACACTATTTGTCTGTTAAGTATGCTACTTTTTTTATTTATTAAATAATATTTAAAATACTGATAAGAAAATTCTGGCCAATAAGGCAAAAAATGTTTTTATGTTATGTCCGATAACTAATAAATGGGTGATATTAAAATATTATACTATTTTGTCACTTAACTATACTAATTTATATAAATTTTATTAAATAATTATGTTTAATATTATAATATTTGTAATATTGTTATTATATCAAATCTTTTAAATAAAGCTGATAATTATTTAAATGTTATTGCCGATAACCGATAAATAGTCTATAGTAAAATATTATACTATTTTGTCTAAATAAATTAAAAATAAAATATTAAAAAGTACATTTAGGCATCATAACATTAAGCACACTCTGAAAAATTAATAATTACTTTGGATTTGCTAAAAGTGATATTTAACAGCATTATTAAATTATTCATGTTTTCAAAGATTAACTTTAAGTGAGAGTTGGATGACTGAGGGTAATCTAAATTTAAAAAGAGGAGAAAAAAACATGCACTATTAAATATTCATTATTCGATAACTGATAACTGATAACTGATAAGGTACCATTACTGTATATTGTGCATCCCTATTCAAAGATTAACTTTAAGTGAGAGTTGGATGACTGAGGGTAATCTAAATTTAAAAAGAGGAGAAAAAAACATGCACTATTAAATATTCATTATTCGATAACTGATAACTGATAAGGTACCATTACTGTATATTGTGCATCCCTAAATGAATAGCAACTAAACTGACAGCCCTAGTACTAATTATTAAATTTCCCATAGACTGATCTTAATCATAAGACTAGCATTGGTGTCTCGGGTTGGTTTCATTAGTCAGTGCTGTATCTTACTCTGCCAAACACTCGTCCTGCTTTGCTGCGGATGAGCTCCAGGCTGTCTGCGTTCTTCTTCTGAGGCATTAAACTGCTCCCAGTGCTGCTCTTGCAAACACAAACACAACAGCTCTGATTAACTACACACACTAGGCACACATACAAAGCAGAAATGGCTCGAATCCCTCAGTACACATCAGCCAGCTCGTGTTCACAGTATATGTATGCCACTGTGTTGAGTATCATCCACCAATTAAGACAACACACTGAATCCTGCACTCCATGGCAGATAGTTTTTCTGAACATGATAATGTTGTTAATAAATAGGCAATAATTATTTCTGAGTGAACAATTACTATTTAACTAAGGTCAGTACCGGCTGTGCAGCAACCAGTTTGTGGTTAATAAAGATAAATCAGTTCATGTTAACAGGCCGAACATTTCACAGGCCATAAAGAATTATAGTATTGGGAAGAAAATTGATTTGCTCTAACAATGGAGAATTTGTGATGGCGTGAGCAGGTACATGTGCACTCACTGAGATTTCTTGGCAACTGTACCATAAAAGTCATTGAATTATTTAATGTGCAACTCTGCCTAAAGCTCAAGTTAGCAACTCCTTCAGTTTCATGATGGAATTGCGCATACGTGACAGGTGGGGTGAAAATAATGCAGAACATGGTAGTAATGTAAGGAAAATACTGTACTGTTAACCCAAGGGCTTCAAATGAATGATTTCTGTCTGCTTTGACATTATGACGTATTTTGGGGCAAGACACGTTCTTGATTTTGAAACACTCTTATGCTCACCAAGGCTTCATTTATTTCATTAGAAATACAGTAAAACAGTAATATTGTGAAATATTATTAGAACTTAAAATAACTGTTTTCTATGTTAATATATTTAAAAATGTATATTATTCCTGTGATGGCAAAGCAGAATTTTTAGCAGCCATTACTCCAGTCTTCAGTGTCACATGATCCTTCAGAAATCATTTTGGATGACTGAGGGTAATCTAAATTTAAAAAGAGGAGAAAAAAACATGCACTATTAAATATTCATTATTCGATAACTGATAACTGATAACTGATAAGGTACCATTACTGTATATTGTGCATCCCTAAATGAATAGCAACTAAACTGACAGCCCTAGTACTAATTATTAAATTTCCCATAGACTGATCTTAATCATAAGACTAGCATTGGTGTCTCGGGTTGGTTTCATTAGTCAGTGCTGTATCTTACTCTGCCAAACACTCGTCCTGCTTTGCTGCGGATGAGCTCCAGGCTGTCTGCGTTCTTCTTCTGAGGCATTAAACTGCTCCCAGTGCTGCTCTTGCAAACACAAACACAACAGCTCTGATTAACTACACACACTAGGCACACATACAAAGCAGAAATGGCTCGAATCCCTCAGTACACATCAGCCAGCTCGTGTTCACAGTATATGTATGCCACTGTGTTGAGTATCATCCACCAAATAAGACAACACACTGAATCCTGCACTCCATGGCAGATAGTTTTTCTGAACATGATAATGTTGTTAATAAATAGGCAATAATTATTTCTGAGTGAACAATTACTATTTAACTAAGGTCAGTACCGGCTGTGCAGCAACCAGTTTGTGGTTAATAAAGATAAATCAGTTCATGTTAACAGGCCGAACATTTCACAGGCCATAAAGAATTATAGTATTGGGAAGAAAATTGATTTGCTCTAACAATGGAGAATTTGTGATGGCGTGAGCAGGTACATGTGCACTCACTGAGATTTCTTGGCAACTGTACCATAAAAGTCATTGAATTATTTAATGTGCAACTCTGCCTAAAGCTCAAGTTAGCAACTCCTTCAGTTTCATGATGGAATTGCGCATACGTGACAGGTGGGGTGAAAATAATGCAGAACATGGTAGTAATGTAAGGAAAATACTGTACTGTTAACCCAAGGGCTTCAAATGAATGATTTCTGTCTGCTTTGACATTATGACGTATTTTGGGGCAAGACACGTTCTTGATTTTGAAACACTCTTATGCTCACCAAGGCTTCATTTATTTCATTAGAAATACAGTAAAACAGTAATATTGTGAAATATTATTAGAACTTAAAATAACTGTTTTCTATGTTAATATATTTAAAAATGTATATTATTCCTGTGATGGCAAAGCAGAATTTTTAGCAGCCATTACTCCAGTCTTCAGTGTCCCATGATCCTCCAGAAATCATTCTAATGTGCTGATTTGCTGTTCAAGAAACATTTCTTATTATTATCAATGAGGAAAACAGTTGTGCAGGTTAATATTTTTGTGGAAATCGTTCAATGATTCAGTTTTTTCAGGATTCTTTGATGAATTTTATTTTTGTGCTTTTTGCATTTATTAACAAGTAGAGCAGTGACAGGAATGGGATTGGAACAAGACACAGGTCAGACCTACAGCTTTTATATGTCAAGGGCATATGCACAGCCACAGAAAATTTGAATGATTTGTTTTTAAATTGTGTTTTCAAGATTGACCACTGCTGTCACTTCCCATTATAAATCATGTGCTGTCCTCACCTGTATGCATCAGTCAGAGTAATGAAGGAGAACTCCTTTGTACTGTATAAAATCAGATCCTCTGCCATCTTGCTGAGGTGTGTGAGACACATTGATGCCCAGAAGAGAAACTCAGCTGTCCAAAAATATACACAAACACATTCAGTTAAACACACTATTCACCCAAATAATTTGATCATTTACTTTCCCTCATGTTGTTCTAAATCTGTATGACTTTCTTTATTCTGTGGAATATAAATGAAGATATTGTGAACAATGTTGGTAACCAAACAGTTTTGGTGACCACTGACTTTCATTTAATGGACCAAAATTTTTCGAATGATCTTCTTTTGTGTTCCACAGAAGAATGAAAGTCATACAGGTTTGGAACAAATTGAGGGTGAGTAAATGACGACAGAATTGTCATCAGAATTTTTGTATGAATCATCCCTTTAATTACAAGGGATACTGATGACCTGTAAAGTTTGCAGCATGATTATACATACCAACGAAATCTCTTTGTCCGGTAGCATCCATGCTGTTAATGCTGATACTATCAAATTTTAGTTCTGGGGAGTGAAAAAAACTGAATCAGATTTTAAAAAAAAGAAATTTAAATAGCTGACCAGTTTGACCTATATACACAAACATATATCATAGGAACACACTTCATGAATCATTACTTATATGGGAAAACAAATGTCATCAACCTTGGCGAAGAAGTTCTCTGTCAATGTTGAAGGGATTCCCAGCAATGGCTCCACTGCAAGGCAAATAAATATATATCATATATCAATGTATCTCAAAAATAAAAGTGTGTGCAGTACTGTTCAAACGTTTAGGGTCAGTAAGACTTTTTCTGTAAACTTAAAACTATTATTTAGTCATGATGCATTAAAAAAGGACAGTAAAGGCATCTATAATGATAAATTACCAAAGATTTGTATTTCAAATGCTGTTCTTTTGAACCTTATATTATTAAATAGTCAAGAAAAAATGTATCACAGCTTCCACACATATATATTGCAGTAGTGTTTTTAACATTGAAAATAATAAGAAATGTTTATTGAGCACCAAATCAGCATACTACAATGATTTCTGAAGGACTATGTGACACTGAAGACTGGAGTAATGATGCTGAAAATTCAACTTGGCCATCACAGGAATAAATTGCATTTTAAAATATATTCAAATACAAAATAGTTACTTTAAATTGTAATAATATTTTAAAATATTACTGTTTTTACTGTATTTCTGATTAAATAAATTCAACCTTAATAAGCATAAGAGAATTATTTTAAAAACATTTCAGTATTGCATATACACAAAACTAACCTTCCAAGGGGCATCACGTTAACATGTTTCCTGATGTCCTCCAGCCGTTCAACATCTCTGCTTAGTGCCACTGCATGACTGCGAGAAACGATGAACACTGATCAGTTATGACCAGACGTATGTATCAGCAAGTCCATATATACAAGATCACAACACTTAACACTGTGAACACTTAACAATTTACTGTTGCCTCACCTCGAGAAAAATATAATTAAGATAGAATTCTACTAAAATGCACCTGAGAATCCAGTGACTCCATCTGATTGGCTGGGCCCTCTGCATGTGAGTGTATCCAGGGCACAGGATTTCAATCTCTCTGGATGGACAATGGAAAATAGTTTGGGATGTGCGTGTTTGGTAATTGTACATTAGTAAGATGATGTGAACATAGTGAGCATTCTTACACTGCAGCCCTTTCCACCATAGTGCTGATGAGCGGCAAAGCTAGTTCTTTCAGAGTGTTAATAGCGTCCCGTAGCCAGAGCCGCGTATCTGTTGCAACCTATCCAACAAATGGAAAGAGTTTGGTCAAAAGCCTGTATGCCTGTAAATATCATGTGACAAATTAAATTGAATTAAATTTAAACCTGATCATTTCTGCTCCTGCCTGTGTGAAGCTTTCCAGCTGGATCACCAATAAATTCCTTTAAAAGAAGACATGAACATTGACTGAATTTAGCTTCCTGTAATATTATTTTCATTATTCAGAATTATAATCTACTACACCACATGGTGAATTGATAAAATATCTTCTTATTCAATAAATAATTCAGTGTTTTCTTTTGACCTTCAGTCTGCGTTCATTGGCTGTGTGAATATCCTCGTCTCCTGGTTTGATCTTGAACTCGCCTTTTGACCATTCATCAAAAACCTGATAAAAGATATTTTTAAATACCTCAGTTATTCATAATTTGTGACAATAAATTAAAATGTCTGATAACTCTTTTCGCAATATTTACAGCCATATTGGGGAGACCGGTGTTAGTTGCCACTAGAGCTATTTCTCAGGAGCTCACCATTATTATAGTTAACTAAAACTAAAATCAAACTAAAACTTGAAATAAAATAAACTTAACTTAAATTAAATAAAAACACTTACGTAACCTCAGTTCCCTGAGATAAGGGAAACTCCTGTTTACTCTGATACTGAAGTCTAATTTGATCACGTTCGTGTAGCTGCACGAACCAATGGCGCTTCAACCCGCCAAAAGGGGTGGTGCTGACTGCTATATATGTCAGCTCTGGGTGCCATTTCGTCAGAATCTTTTGACTGAAGCAACAGTCATCGATTCACGTGCAGCTTTATAGCATGGCAGCCTACGCAACGCTTGTTCCCTTATCTCAGGGAACCGAGGTTACGCAAGTAACCGGAGCGTTCCCTTTCGAACAGTCTCTCCCGTTGCGTTATGGGGACCCAATCGCGTCGTGCCATAAGCAAGTGCAGAACGAAGCTACTTTGCGAGTGTAACATGAGCTAATAATGAGACCCAAGCCACTTAGGCCAATCGTGGGCCAGGGCATCTCGCTGCTTCGAAAAATAAATTGGGCAGTGAAAGTTGTCTTCTGACGCGAAGAGGTCCACCTTTGCCTTCCCGAAGACAGACCAGATTGTTTGAACCATTTGGGGATGTAGTCTCCATCCTCCTGGAGCTACATTGCCCCTGGACAGCATGTCTGCTCCCTGGTTTAGTCTGCCTGCCACATGAACTGCACTCAGCAAGAGGAGTTTGCCCTGTGCCCTGACCAAAGTGCTGTGGGGAGAGTGAAGCACACAGGATTTTCAATCAAGCCTGGTCGCTAAGCCTGTGACTTCACTGTTTCTTCCTCCGAAGCAGCTGGGAGGGGAGAAACGTTAGAGCGGGAGGGGCGAGGGCGAAGCAGGGCGAGACTCATGGTCTCACAGTGAGAGCAGTCTGTCTCAGAGAGCGCAGCCTCAGCATGGGCGTGGCCCAGGCAAGCGACGCACCCAAATCTGAAGCTGTCAGTAATATGGAATCATCGGTGACAGCATTGTCCTCTGATCCACCTAAAAAGATCACACCGCTCGTTGTAGACGAGGGGTGCTGATCCTCTAGTGTAAAACACCTGTGCCGGTGTGAGATCACTCAAGCCCGATTGCTCAGTCCCATGACTCCACTGTGTCTTCTCTGAGCTAGCTGAAAGGGGAGAAAAGGGAGAGTGGGGCTGCCTTCATTGAAGAAGGCGATCTGCGAGCTGCGAGCGGAGAAGAGACTCATGCTCTCAGAAAGCATTCCGTTCGGGTGAGTGCAGTCTCTGCCCAGACAGGCAACGCATTCACCGTGCCCATCTGCATCATGCAGGGGTCCCTGCATGAGCCACACTCACAGTGCGGCATTTGCAACAACATCGCCAGGAAATTTGCTTTAATAGATGCCGTATAGCTGCAGGGGAAGGCTTCTAGTGATCTTCCACTGCTGGGGCTTCTTCTTAAGGTGGTGAGCAGCAGGCTGCGCTTCTTGCTTCTTGCTTCGGCTTCTTGTCCAGCGAGGAAATGACCTTCGCCACTGAAGGAGAAAAATTCTGACGAAATGGCGCTCAGAGCTGACTTACATAGCAGTCGATTCCACCCCTTTTGGTGGCTTGAAGCGCCATTGGTTCGTGCAGCTACACGAGTGTGATCAAATCAGGCTTCAGTTTCAGAGTAGGAGTTTCCCCATAGCACAACGGGAGAGACCGTTTGAAAGGGAACTCTTTATTACAGCTAGTTGCGAAGGCAACATTTTCATTTAGTCTAACTTGATACTAAAATGGTACTAAAACAACTAAAACTGAAATAAAAACTATATAGACATATATATATATATATATATATATACAAAACAACAAAATTACTAAACTTCAATTAAAATTCAAACAAAATATAAAAAAATTATAATCTAAATATTTAGAAAAACTATATTATCATTTCAATGATTATAAAATAACACTGCAGTAGCTACAGTATATAAAGGTTTTATATTAATAGTCCAATAACACAAATTAGTGTTTTCTCTAGCAGATGTTTGTTGGTTTCAAATGCTGTCTTAAAGTTGAATTATTAGAATAATTACAAAGAATAATACAATATAGAATAAATTTTGTGAATTTTATACTCAAAGCTAAAATTCCAAAATAATCATATTTTTAATAGCTGTTGTTTTTTTGTTGTTTTTTTTAAGTTGAAAGTGTCAATTTCAAATATAGATTACATTTTTTTATTGGGATAAGTTGTCGTATTATGTTTTTTACTTTTTTGTACAATACATTAAACTATTTGTTGAGTTAATATCTTTGTACATTACCTTTTACATTTCTGCTGACCATGTTTGCATGGTCAATGTTTGGTGAATGAACTGTATCTTTTTTCTTGATCAATAACTGTGGAAATTAAATATTCAAAATGTGACAACTAGCCCCAGTCTCATCTATTTGGCCAGTTGTATATGTTGACAGAATGCCATGTTGAATGGCAGTAGCTTCAGAGAAGTTTACAATAGGCACCATCAGCATTGTCACATGGCTATTGTTTTGTGCACATGGAGGTGTCTGTGTCCTGGCATATTTTTGTCTGTGATGTATTAAGCTTTGGTGTTAAAGGGGGAATGGACTATGGAACAGTATCCTGGTACATATTTACAAAGCAGCATCATAGTTCAAGGGTAAACAAATTAATTTTAATGAGAAAGATGACACTGTAAAAGAACACACATATAACCTGGATGCTATCAGACGGGTTTATGAGTCAGGTAATGTGGTAAATAATATAATCACCTTGTCAAGTCCTGTAAGAATCTGTTCCATCTCGTTTTGCGTGACCAGGCCTGCTTTCTGTAAAGCTTTGACATATGCTTTACTCCCCTTAATATCAGCCTCCCACATGCGCTGGTCGTACGCGATTGACGCGTTGAACTTTTCCATTATAGGGTCGGTGTTTCCCACAAAGCGACCACCCCATAGTTTATTTCCCTGTTTAACACAAAATAATAAACATAAACATAAACATTACGGTAAATCATCGCTCGTGGTTTCTGACAGGTTTGGAAAGCCTGTGACACACACAAAAACACACTAAATCAGACTGACTTTTTATGAGCGATAAAATTAGCGATCTTTACCTCTGAACTTGCCATTGTAACAGTCTCAAGCAGTCTTTATGTGCGAAGAGCAAACCGAAAACTAAAGGTCATTAAAACAGAAACAGGAAATGTCGGACAATTAAAGGACAAATCAGTGCCGTATGTTTTCACCGATTCATGAGAATGAATTACCGTAAGAAGCTGTTCATTCAATAGACTGTGACCTGCATTTCTTCCTCGTTTATTTTGGGGAAGCGAAAGCCCCGCCTATAATATGTTAATTTGGTGCTCGCGAACCAACCAAAATCTAAAGCGCCATTTTTTGGGCGCTGTCCTTCATTTTAGAGAACAAATCCTGTATCGAACCGCCTCCCTAAAGACAGAATACACTTTGCAGTTACAGTTTTGAATGGTGGATGGCGCTATGTCCTTAAAACGAGCAGGTACACAAATAAGAATGAATCTAGAGCTATACTTCATGTACTTAAATATTTTATCTCATTTTTATGTCTTATTTATTTTTGGGTTATATTTTTGTAATATACCTGTGCAAATACATCAAATCAACAGTGTATTTAGGGGGAAATAGGAGGTTATCACCAATGGTTAATACCACTGAAAGTAGGCCTACTACATGTACGTTAACCTGCAGCAGCCCTGTTTGAGCAACTTGCAGACAATAATTACAAACTTATGTAATATTTTTTTTCCCGCGTTATTACTATTGAAATGTTTGCATAATTAATCGAGATTTGTATTTTTGCTCTTGCATCTGTTCATTAATCTATTTCTCCCTTTTATCCATATTTGGGTTTATAACTTTTATAATTTTCGTTTTACTATGTTCTCTTGATTCCTTGCAAGCACAATTATAGGCTTATTTTTCATAATATTACTTTTATATAACTATAATCTTATATAAATATACTACATTATATTTTATATAAATATAATCTTTTTCTATAACATTTAATCAATATTTTTCTATAGTGTCACTTCCACAACATTTCGAACTGATTTAATGATTCGGTTAGAATTTTGGTATTGTCGCGGGATTCATTTTGTTGCACGGGGAAACGTTATATATAACGTTTATCTTTATAAAAATTTCCACTATAGAAAATATTTTTAACCAGCAATAGTTACAGGAATATTTAACCCTACAAACAAATTTGAACACGACAACTGGGTGGGAACGTTTAACAGAAAGCCTCGTTTTCTCACCGGATCGTTGTTAGTTGTCGAACCAACCAGGCAAGCGGGATGGAAGTGTAAGCGATTTAATTTACTTTTATTCGCCTAAAGTCAAACTTAAATCATATAATAATAATCTTTTTGTTGAAAATACCCAGTATATGGCGCTGTGATTAGAACAGGTTTCCAAATCTATACTGAAATGACGACGATATGCAGCTCACGTGGTTACTCTTGCATACTAACTTAATCTTTAGATGACGGTTAACGCTACGAATGCATTGGAGCCATCAAACTCAGATCAAATTGATTAGGAGCTGATCTGTTGAAAATGTATTTTCACTAACAATTGATGAGAGATCATTTGGGTATAACGATTGATGTATAATGTTCAGGGTACATGTTGGTCGTATTTAATAGCGAGAGGGATTTGGGAAATTCAGAACAAAAAGTAAATATGAAAGTGAAGTGAAGCACGTGTGATTATAGGACTGGGAAAGCAGCACACACTGAAAGCTGCTAAAAGGGGGGATATTATTTTTTATCATAAATTAATGTTAAAACACTACGTTTTACTCACCCCCAAGGCATCCTAGGTGTATATGACTTTCTTCTTTCAGACGAATCCAGTCTGAGTTATATAAAAAAATTGTCTTTGATCTTTCAAGCTGTTTAATGCCACTCAGCTGGTGTTGCATTGCATCAGTCCAAAAGAACTTAAATAAAAATCGCCCATCCATAAAAAAATTTTATATAACTCCGACTGGATTCGTCTGAAAGAAGAAAGTCATATACCCCTAGGATGCCTCGGGGGTGAGTAAAACGCAGCCTAATTTTCATTTTTGAACTAACCCTTTAAGGGCTACAACTAATTATTATTTTGATAATCGATTAATCTAACGATTATTGGACCGATTAATCGACTAATCGTCGATTATTTCACCAATTAATCAGTAGACTTTTGATTATTCAGCTTTTGCGATTAGTTAAAATATTGTTATATATATATTCTAACAAATAAATAAAGGTAATCACTTCAGCTTTTGAAAGTCATATTATGTGATGAGATGTTTTATTTTTTGATAAACTATTTTATTCACAACATAATCTCTCTTAAAATACCTTATAGGGTAATAATGATAATCAAAACAGTCCTGAGCTAGATCAAACTTTGATCTCTGTAAACCAAACTATAACTTTAGTGAAGTATTTTTTCCCTTATTAGCTAGCTCCACACTGGAGAGCCGCTTTATAACATAAAATCAAGTTGTAATTCTAACTGAAAGCGACACTGACTGGTTTTTCATGTTTAATACTGTAAAGCTGCTTGATTTAAGGGGGTCATATGATGCTGCTAAAAAGAACATTATTCAACTTTACAGATCTTCTTTATGCACCAAGAGCTTGTAACACTCCAAAGAGAAAGGAAAAATTTAAAAAGCATCATATGACCCCTTTAAGGCTATCTATTGCATAAAGTACTAAGTTATATAAATAAACGTGACGTGACTGGACTTTACTGGAGTACCGAACTGCAGAATTCTAGTAACATCCACATGGCTGTAATCAGATGCCTTCATAACTGCTGCTTTCACACTGCTGTCAATTTTTGTTATTGAGAGGAAAGCGTGCGGCATATATTTACATATTCATCCAAACGCCGCTCAACAGCTTTATGTTTGGCTGCTTTTGCTCTGAAGCGCTGTCTTCTCTTGAATTGCATCCAGGAGGGCTGAATTACTGTCTTGTGCTACAGCGCCACACTGGTCAAACAGCATTATTGCAGGCTCTTACATTAGGCCATATGAGATCAAACGACTACTCGACAACAAAAAGATTTGTCGACAATTTTTTTATTGTCAACGTTGTCGATAATGTCAACTAATCGTTTCAGCCCTACTTGAGTTGGAGCTTCCCTTTGCTCACACATGAAAAAATTGCAAATGCACAAAATGCAATTGTGCTTGTTGCAATGCTCCAAAAGACTATTATAGCTGCTGTTAGAACACAATTTTAGGCGATTTAACATGAGTTAATCCTAATGTAAACCTTTTGTTTTGTAGAAGGGATGCCAATGCCGCTATGCTAAGCAACTATGAGGTCAGTATGCATTTTAAAACTTTTTAGATTTTGTGTGTTATACAGTTCTATGTGTGTTTTATCAGAAATGCATGTTGTGCATCTCAAGTAAAATCTTCAGTTGTTGAGTTTAATTGTGACTGTACAAATGCACTCTGTTCCACCAGGTCTATCAGTTGCTGACAGACCTGAAAGAAAAAAGAAAGGAGATGGTTAAAAATAAGCACAGCACAGGACAGCAGAATCTCAACACCATCATGTATGAGGTGCATGTTTTTGATGTGATTTGAAACATCTCTTAAACCAAGATGATATAAAATTTTCGGTCTATGAGAGATTGTTTTCATCATGATCTTCAGACGGGGCTGATCACTCATGCCTTTTAACATTTGATGCGTCTGCCTCAGTAGACCCTGAAGTACCTCTCCAAGACGCCGTGTGCTCATCAGAATCCAGACACTGTGAAGGAGTTCCTCACTTCAATGCTGCCTCACAAGCTCACTAAGTGAGTTACAGAAAACTTTCTTTTTTTTATTCCTTATTTTGCCCCAAAATGGCTTGTTTTATTGTGGAAAACACAGGCATAGGAAAACTTATAGACCTGTCACAAACAGTGTGACAAGCACCGACTGTGTCACACTAAATGCAGTGTATACAACCACTTTGTAATTCTAAGTTCGAGATGTATCTTTATGAAAATTTGTGTCATGTGATGTTTGAGACTACAGTGCACATCTGAGTTGCTGTTTTGCAGTTGACAGTGAGTCTAGTATTACTGCACCTGTTTGTAAACTGTGACAAAAGTTGATAGACTGCTGGTACTTTTTTTATTTTCTTTCCTATTTAAAGAGCCGAGAAGTTGCAGCTCCTTAACCACAGACCTCAGACTGCTGTTGAGATCCAGCTGGTAAGACACTGTTCATTAAATTTTTTTTTTAATACCCTGTCTTCTTCTTTACATCTTTGCCCATTTCTCAGAGAGTACTACGAATGTACGTTCAAGAGTTTAGGGTCAGTATGTGTTTGTTTGTTTTCCCAGCAATGATGCATTAAATTGATCAAAAGTGACTTGAGAGAGTTGAACAAATTGAATCCTGAAAAAATGTATCACAAAAAACATAAAGCAGCACAAACTGTTTTCAGCATTGATGATATTGTTTCTTGAGTAACAAATCAGTACATTAGACTGATTTCTGAAGGATCATGTGACTCTGAAGACTGGAGTAATGATCCTGAAAATTCAGCTTTGCCATTACAGGAATAAATTACATTTTGAAAAGTATTAAAATAGAAAATGGTTATTTAAAATTATTATATCACAATATTGTTTTTAATATATTTTTGATCAAATAAATGCAGTCTTGGTGAGCATAAGAGACTAATTTAAAAAAACATTACAAACCCCAAACGGTAGTGTATAATGTTGTAGAAAATCTTCTCTTTCTCAAAGAAATCTCTTGAGTCAAGAAGTTCCAGATGCCAAAATCAGACTTCATTGGTCTAGTCAACAAAGCCAAGATGCCGGCAGAACATCTGACCATCTCACTTGCACCTCACACTTATATTCTTAAACCTTTTATCTCATTATGGGTGTTATCCTCCTTTTTTCTTTTTGGAATCTCCTCAATACTCCCGTCAGTAATTTCTTCAATCTGCCAACTTGTTTGTAATGGTGCCATCCTGCCAGTCAGCTTATTTAAAAAAAACAATGTTCTCAGCAAAAATATACTCGTATAATATCTTTATGCAATCTGAGAGACTGGTACATGTATGGACATTGAGCAGTAGTGGTCCTACAACATTCTAGTTTAGCCAACAGCAGCTTTGCATTGTTATATTTGAATGATAATAAAAATACACCATAATAAGCAAATGGCATATTCAGATTGTTGTTTAGAAGTTAGACTTGAAGGAACATTAAGCATACAAGAATATGTAACAAACAGTGAAAATGAAGTAGTAAATGTGAAAATATTTTCAGATAAACAATTTATACTTGACAGGGCAATTTTTTATATAAACTTATAATATTAAGAATATTATTACTGATGTTATT